TTTCTCATCCCAGGCTTTATGGAGGGCACCATACTCGTGGTTTGCGAACTCCATATTAACATGAATAGTGTTTCCACCATAGTCAGACTTCCTACCAACATGAAGAGGCTGGTGAATGTCACCCATAAAGTGCATGAGGAACTTCAAAGCCACCTGCCTCTGCTCGATAGGAAGACTGGTGTCCGCCACTTGACGAGTATAGTTCTTGACGGCACCAGCAACACAGTAATCGTCCTTGCAGTCACGGGAATATACGAATTTGCAATTGTCGTCAGCATCAGCATAATGCAAGCCAGACGACCATTCCCATTCAGAGCGATCGGGACCATGAAGGACACTATCAGGCCAACTGGCGAAATCAGCCATCCTGACACCCTCGCCCAATATCTCAGCTACGGCCTCGTTGGCATTGTCGTTGAAGAGCTCGTTTCCAGCGTCGGCTACAGTAGCATGACCATCAGGACCCCACGCAACAGCGGCAGGGAAAGCAAGGGCGATAACGAATACCTTGTTGAACATGGTAACACGGTAAAGTGAAAACTCACTGTTGGTGTAGAACTCGTTCTAAGCTTTCAGCGCAGCGCAGCTGACCCCTCTCCGTCACGCCCGAGCTTCGGTGCACCTATGAGGCTCCTCGTAGAGACTACATACTATGGCCACAACCAGCGAGTGAAGGACGGTACGTGGGATGAGTCTCCACTGGTAGCTTCTCTTGGGCAATACTAGGCGGTGGCGCTCTGATACAGTGCCTATTAGCAGCAACTTATGAATCCGACGTGTCCCGGTTTTTGTGTCACGATTTTCCCCCTCCCCCTTTTGTGGTCGCTGTCGACCCGCATGGTCGCAATCCTCTACTAAATAGGGTGGGAGCTATACATGCGAGTATCGCGCTTTTACTAAGATCAACCTCTCCAGCCGGGGCGGCTATGCCAGTCCGAAATATTTCCCTCTCGTCCGATGAGTTTTTCCAGACGGGATGCCTATGCCGCCCCAAGGTATACCCTAGAACAATCAATTTCTCTATGTGGGGCAGATATCCCGCCCCAAGGTATACCCCAGAACAATCAATTTCTCTATGTGGGGCAGATATGCCGCCCCAAGGTATACCCCAGAACAATCAATTTCTCTATGTGGGGCAGATATGCCGCCCCAAGGTATACCCTAGAACAAACAATTTCTCTTTGTGGGGCAGATATGCCGCCCCAAGGTATACCCTAGAACAATCAATTTCTCTAGGTGGGGCAGCTACGCCACCCCAAGATATGCCTTCGTACAATGAATGTCTCCAGGTGAGGCAGGCGCCTTAATCAACTTCGCTACGTGGGGCAACTATGCCATCCCCAGATATCCTTTTGCACCTACACGCGTTAAAAAAACCGAGTTCTTCAGCGCGTCTGAAGCAACACAAATTTTGACCGTAGAAATTCGACATGTAGAGAAGAGTCCTACAGTTGATTGCTAACAGCGAAATCGATTCCTACTACGAACCAAATTCACTGTTAGTGAAGTCGATTCCACTCATGGACAGACATAACAAGTCGCAACAAATCCAGTGAAACTCCTTTCGCTCTGCATTCAGAGTCTAGGCCACGAAGTCAACTCCAATTCTGAGCCCTACTTTCGATGTCACAACACAACAATACATTCAGTACATAATCGGGAGGTGAACTCCGAAACGTATCAGGTATATACAACAAGCTGTAGCATAAAGTTAAGCGCGCACAATACGTCCGCTGACTGTTACTGGTTAAGCAATAAGAAAAAGAAGGCCAAGCATCTATATAACAAAAGAGACCAAGGTAGAATAGTCGTTCATATGCAAGTTAACACGAGCAGGGCTCATTGCTGCCGAAGCAAGTTGGAATGTCCAACCAGTACTTGCAATAGGAACCAGGAGTCTTGCTGGCACACATCTCATCAGCCTTGGAACAATACCCAGGGGCAATCGTAGTGGTGGTAACCTCTGTAGGGCGCATGGTGGTGGTAGAGGGGCTGGCAGGCAAGATGGTATTCAACAACCAAGCAAGACGAACACCTCCTTTAGCAATTTGTTCTTCGACAGTGGCAATACGAGTATCGTAATATTCACGAGGAAGCACAGAACCGTTGACGACAGGAGTGCCGTCCACATTAGTGTAGGCCAACTGACAAGAAAGCTGAGCATCCGTATCAACCATGTCATTCAAACACTGGTCAAAGTCGTGCTCGCAATCGGCCAACCATGAGTCGACTTGATCTGCATATTCACCACCCTTCTGCAGCTTCTCACCAATACTCGCAACTAGTGTACTCCAAAAACGAGTTCTATCACGCTGAGGAACATCTTCACGTTGCATAATATAATCACCAGCATAACGATCCATCTCCCACTGATCCAGTAAACTGAAATCCCAAACAAAATGGAGATTAGTAGTCACGAAGTTAGCGAACTCGATCTGCACATTTGTATAGATACCAGTAGAATCAGAAAGGTTACCACCATGAAGTGGTTGATGAATGTCAGCCATGAGATGAACGACAAACTTCATGGCAGTTTGCCTCTCGGAGAGGGGGAGAGACTCGTCGACAACTCTCTGAGTGTAATTCTTCAGACCTCCAGCAACACACATGTCGTCCTTGCAGTCACGAGAGTATATAAAGTGACAACCTTGAGTATCAGCATGGTGAATAGCACCAGACCAACCCCAAACCGAAGTCACCTCCTCAGGGCCTTCAAAGGCAGCATAGTCAGGCCAGCTAGCATAATCAGCCAGTCGTACACCCTTTCCCATGATAGCATCGTGGGCCTCTCTCGCCTCGGGGGTCAAGCGGAAACCAGCAATTGTAGCGACAACCCCGTGACCATCGAGACCCCAGGCAGCAGCCAATGGGAGAACAGAGGCAAGTACAACGAATGATGAAACCATTCCGAATGTGGATACAGGTTGATTGCACTTCAACTGGTTTCTAGCTTCCACAGGATCACCTCAGCTGCGACCACAGCGCAGCACTGAGCCCCACGAAGATACCAACAACAAAAACAGGCGTTTCTTTCAATCCTGAACAGAGGAACTCGATTCGCGAGCTTGAACTATCGTAACTATACGAAATGACTGTTCACAACGATCTTGGCTAGAGCTGTCATCGTTACGTACATTGAGCTATCCCATAAGCCTTCGGTCATTGATTATAACGCCTTTGAGCCCAGTGTACATGATTAGTCACATGTTTTGATTACAGTAGGGAAATTGCAGGGGATTCTCGACGAGAATGTCTCGTTGGTTTCTGTATACCTTCACCCTGAGTCGTGAGCGAATTTCCATAGCATAGTGAAAAATGTTCCGAGCTCCACTGAGGAAACCAAATATGTTCCCAATTCTGTTCAAGCCAATTGCTCTGAATGAATCATAATCCGAACAATAAGGAGTTAACAACTTGTTAATAACAAGCACGTACCACTCATCGGCACCTTCCTCACTAGTTCCGGCGAGTCGGACAATACAATTATTCACGCACCGAGCAACCGGGATTCCGGTATGCTAAAAACGCTCAACCAGAAGTATACAGCGTATACTAGTCGATCCAGCGGTTGGCTATCACCATCTCGGGGGAAATTGCCAACCCAAGTTTCATCGATGCCTACACTGACAGTCTTTATCACGTGTGATGATCAGAAACAACAGACCAGCTACAGGGAGGTGTAAAATGAAGTGCCCACCCCTTGTAAGTTCGCCTCAGTTGATGAACGAAATAAGTATCATTCGAAAGCAATCGCCGAGGTCTTTCCACTGCTGTATGAACAGTTCTGATATTCGAATTGCGCACTGAGTTATCGTCAAACTTAAAATCGGCGACATAGACAAACGCCGCCGTAACGGCTGCAACCTCCAAATGATATCAATTTTGCTCATCAACAATCACGCGCCACGAAATCACAACAGGTCAGGCCATTCTCGCACCACCCTGTACACCAACTTAATGGGAAGTTCACATGTTCTCTAACCCTCGACTAACCACACAACACGCCTCGATGGGATACTCCTGGCTCACTAACGTCTAGATAGGACAATTATCAACAGCAAGTGCTAGTAGCCGGAGAGACCACAATGGAGTGAGGTAGTTCAACAAGGATTATAGTACATTGAAAACAAATACAACGAGAAGAATAAAAACCCCGGCACTGAACATCGGAGGCATCTCATTCGCTGCGTTCGGAGCAACTGTTGTCGTGGCTGAACTGCTCGTCGTGGCTGTCAAGTTATTCAACAACCACGTTAAACGAATGCCGGCTTTAGCGAGCTGTTCCTTTGCAACTTCAATACGGCCATCATAATACTTCATAGGAAGATAATCATTGTCAACAACACGTGAGCCATTCATGTGCTTGTAGCTGTATTCACAGGCCGCTTTGGCAGTTTCATCAACCCACTTCTCAATACACGCATCGTAGCCGTACTTCTCGCAGTCCTCGACCCAATCATCGACATCGCCAGCGTATCTTCCACCCTTATCAAGCTCGTCATCAATAGCGTCCTCAGTGACAGTCCAATATGGTGCACCGCGCGCACGATGGCCACGCCCTTGGAATTCATATAGGAGAGCCGAATCCCAAGTAGAGTGGAGATTCGTGTGTTGATGTCGAGCAAACCCCAGACTGACGTCAATCTTATTGCCACCCCTATCCTTCGGGTTACCAGCATGCAGAGGCTGATGAGCATCACCAACAAAGTGAACGATGAACTTGAGCGCTTCTTGTCGCTGTTCCAAAGGGAGGGACTCATCAACGACCCGTCTAGAGTAGTTCTTCAGAGCACCGGCAACACAGTAATCGTTCTTGCAGTCTCGGGCGTAGTCGAAATGGCAGTCGGGAGTATCGGCGTAGTGAAGAGGAGACGACCATTTCCACTCGTTTCCATCAGGACCATACTTGACATCATCAGCCCAACTGGAGTAGTTGTACATGGGGACGCCTTTGCCCATTATAGCATCAATAGCCTCTTGAGTCTCCTTATTGATACGCTCTTGCCCTAACTGGGCAACAACTGCATGACCATCGTGACCCCACGCAAAAGCAACTGCTAACGTAGCGGCCAGTAGAGATACACAACGGAATAACATACAATAAGTACTTCACAACTGCAATGAAGTCATGAAACTCGCACACTTACTTAACAAACCAACTACAACACTCTGGGAAATAACCGAGAATATCTTTTCACGTGCGCGATTTTCCACTGAACAATATCACTCTCGAAAGTTCATTCGTTTGGCAATCTTGTTGCGCTTCATAATTTCTTCATTTGCCTCTATCGCTTCCTCAACAGGAATAACCACAACATCGCCATTCACCAACTCGAATGTCATCATCGACTCGTGGTTAGTTTGTTGTTCAATCTTCACCACCTCGTCGGCAAGCTGTCTCAGGTTTCTCACCTGAAAAACTTGTTTTTGTCGAGAAACACATGTGAACAGTGCATCACGCGCGAGACACGTGGGACGGGGTGGTCTAACTCTGAGCACTACTGCAGTTTCAGTGAAGCTAACTCACCTGCACTCCATTTAACTTGGCTAACTGCAAGCACTTTATTTCATGATAGCCAATCGTAAGCTCACTCGCCAAAACTTGATGTAGTATCACAACCTCGTCATCACTACTCTTACGATGACCATGTGACCACAACTCGCAAAGACGAATCTAATAAGATCATTTTCAACCTATAATATTCCCGGGGGAAAACTCTGTTTTGAACTTTCTGCATTCTTCATTGATCGGTTTTCCATGCACATGTCATTTTCCCTATTGTTATCAAATCCTAGACAGCGTTATCACTCAAAGCTAAATAGTCGATCGAAAATAAACTTACCGGAGCTTCTGATTCGAAATTGTCACCATATTCACACAGCAGAAAGGGCTCAGTCAGAGGCAAAAACACCAAACCAGCAACGATGAGATATCAGGGCCGAATCTTGGTTCCACCGGCACAAGAGGGTCAATTTTGCTGAAAAACGAAAATAATAGGAGACGCGTTTGTATGTCAGGGTATCATTACGTAACCTAACTTATGAGCATAGAAAAAGAACTCGAGTTTCTTATTAAAAGAAACTTAAATTATGACATCACTCGATGTCATAATTTATGACATCGAGTGATGAAAAAAATTTATGACAAAAAATGAAAAAAATAATTTATTTATGACTCATAAATCGACCTCAACGATGGGGCATGCCTGGTAGGATCGTTCCCTCCCTGGCTGATCGATTCGCAACTCGAGCTCTTTCCCCAATGCTAAGCAAGGTCGCGGACGAGAGCCTGGGATTGTTAACCTCCCATAGGAGGTAATTTTTGAATTTTCCACATTTCTCAACAATCAGTTTTTCCCAGTGTAAAAGTCATCACAATAGTAACATCATTTTCTCCATTATTATTAAACCCTGGGGAACGTTATTTCTCAAAGCTGAATCGGTCACTGATACAAGTTAACCTATTGCTCGCTTTAGAACACAGAGTAGGTAAAAACATGCACATGGTCAACTACATGTGTTGATAACAATATGAAAATTCTGAGAAAATTTTGGGAAATTCTTTGTTGGTTTCTGTACACTTCTACTCGAATTCGTATGTAAACTTCTGATCTCAGCTGAGGAAAGCGATTACATATATTCCTACTCCAACACTGTATAGGAAACTTCTGAGTTCAGTTGCTGAGGAAAGCGATTACATATATTCCTACTCCGACACTGTATAGGAAACTCCTGAGCTCAGCAGCTGAGGAAAGCGGTTACATATATTTCTACTCCAACACTGTCTTTATGTGGACACACGAAAATACCCGTGTGTCACCGTTCAAGATAGCAATCAGAGAAACACAGTTTAAACATAACCAAAAAGTCGACATAGCCCAAAATTCTCGAACCCCGTGTTACAAAGTCTCTAACACAGTTTCAGAGTCATATAATGGAGTTTCATCCGTTTAACGTAAAGTGGCGTAATACTCCATGTAAATTGCAACACGCATATGTAAGTAGTATACATATACATGTGTTGTATACGTGTAATTATACAATTGCTTCCCGCGAAGTGAATTGTGGAAAATACTTTTCATTAGTGTTTTTCACATCACGGGTGAGACTCCAGTATATGATATTCACTATGGTGAAAATTCCTCGCGAAATGCGAATGGAATATGAGAAAATTGTCTCAAACTATACCGTGCAAAACTACGAATAACGCAGACTCTACTGACCTCAGTTTCAAGTTGAACACTTCGTTTTTGTGGTCCCTGAATATTCCAATCGATATAGTATCACCAACAAAATGTCTTTGCAACAAGTAGATAAAAGGAATTCGTTCGCCCTGAAAAAAAACAAGTTCACGTGCCTACATAGCAGGGCAGGAGAGCTCGGAAATAAATGACTCAGAAACGGGGGCGAGCGATGGGGAATTAACGACCGAATCCCACGCAGAGTGTTTTATGGAAATTTGCGAAAGTGTGAAATTTCTGCTGATTTCCATACACGATCCGTATATAAACTCATATGAAAACTCCTGAGCTCAGGAGCTGAGGAAAGCGATTACATATATTCCTACTCCAACACTGTATAGGAAACTCCTGAGCTCAGCAGCTGAGGAAAGCGATTACATATATTCATACTCCAACACTGTATAGGAAACTCCTGAGCTCAGCAGCTGAGGAAAGCGATCACATATATTCCTACTCCAACACTGTATAGGAAACTCCTGAGCTCAGCAGCTGAGGAAAGCGATTACATATATTCCTACTCCAACACTGTATAGGAAACTCCTGAGCTCAGCAGCTGAGGAAAGCGATTACATATATTCCTACTCCAACATTATGTTACAACGTCTCGGAGATATGAAATATCAAACATCTTCAGCCAGTGTGGGAAAACACTCACATGTTCAACTACATGTGTCGGTGGAAATATGAAAATTTTGGGAAATTCCCATTGTTTCTCTACAATTCTTAGTGAGGAAACTCTCGACCTCATCTCAACAAAGCGATATATTGCAAATATAACGCAATAACAGTATCTGCTTCTCTTGATGCATTGTGGTGTCGCGTAGCTCTGAATCAGCTGAATTGCCTTTCTAGTGTTACGGGACTATTATTGGACGGTACAGATGTGTAACGAAGTAAAACTCTCTACTTGCACGCATGCGCAGTAGTCGAAGTCAGCTCGCGCGCTGAGATCTCTCACGACCATCACGAAGTAGTCGTTTTCGCCCACCCTTCCACCCGGTGGGATGCGGACTTCGCTCGTTCGTCGTTACTCCCCCTTTCTGGGTGATCAGTTGGCGCGCTCTCCTGCTCATAGTTTTAGGTCTTGCTATCGGACCCTTTATGTTCGACTAAATTTAACTAAAAGTATTTGAGTATTATTATCATCTCTCTCAAATACTTATATCTACAGCACTTCCAGGTAAAGTTAAATTTCTAACTATAGTCTCAATGCAATACCAAAAGGATTGATGTTATACCCGCTTTATTGAAGTTTCACAACCCGTTTTACGTAAAGTGGCGTAAAACTCGGTGAAAAACGCGATCTTCGCGGCCTGTAGTAGTCGCGGAATATGTTTTTCATATCACTAGGGTGAAACTTCATTGATTCCACCCTTCCTGTCCTGACACACTTGATCGTCTCCCCCTGGGTGACGTGGCGATTTCACAACAGATAACGCCATGGCGTTATCTTACACGTGAGTAAAACTCAAACTATTTGAGTATTGCTAGCATCTACCTCAAATACCAATATCTACAATATTCCACCAAAAAATTTAATTTTATCTCATAGTTTTTGTAAAACCCAGAATCACCTCTCACCTGTCTAAAAGGAACAGTCCCATCGTTGGCAATGTTGTGTTCTCCTATACTGGTCACGACATCACCAACCTTCAACACACTAGCTGCTGACGTTGCTGCCTCTATACGACGAACTCGTACACCAGTCAACTGAATGTTAGCGAATGCCATAGGACTCCAGTGATGAGGTAATTTGGCGGTCATTTTGAGGCGTACTCCTTATGATCTGTGTTTTTATGCCGTATCGCCACGAAAAAAATTACTGAATTTTCTGAGTTTTTATAGACTCCTAAATTCAGTAATTCCACTGATTAATTTCTCAACCAAAAACAGAGTGATTACAGAAATCTGAATATACGAATATAACTAACATCTTACCCAGTTAATCGTTACGTTATATAACCTCATATGAAAATGTCGCTAAAAGGATCAAGTGCCTTAGCAGTAAACATATTGGAGTTTCACAACCCGTTTTACGTGAAGTGGCGTAAAATGCGATATTCGCGATGAAATATGTTTCTCAAATCAATCGGATGGAACTCCAAATTATACAAAATGTAAAGGATATTATACTATTCAACTCGGACTGTCGCATCTTCATATTCGAAAAATACGGAGTTTTACCCTAGTGATATGAAAAACACATTTCACGACCACTGCAAGGTGCAAATATCGCGTTTTTCACAAACGTTTACGTCACTTCACGTGAAAAGGGTCAAACTCCGGTGAAGTCTAAATTCATAATATATTCATATTAACCCTCAATATATACATTTAGAGGAGTTTTCCGCGACCCATCATAGAAAGAATCAACTGGGACTATCAAATCGGGACAGCACGCGGTGGGGCTATCACTCCCATGCCTCCTACAAGTGAAACGGCGACCGATATAGAGCTATCAGCTATATTTATTTATTTCTCACATCCAATTAGCCTTAATATGTGAAAGTTTGTTTGTGAAATTATGCGTATTCGAAAAGATATGCACTTTTCAAAATAGAACACACTGTAATAAACGCATATGAGGACTCACGTTAGGAGGCATGCCGAGTTCCTTACGGATATATGCCGACTCCAATGGCTGCACTACGAAGCCACCATCACCAAATCCAGTATATCTGAAGGACGAGTGGTATTCAATCGCTATTCCACATTGCGCATATATAGTACTCCTAATAATAATGCTGAAGTATATGATAATTATGAACATATATAATACACTTTACATATCGCTACGTGTATCGGGGGCAGTCCTAAGGTGGGCGAACAGTGAAGGTATGTATAGCCCCACTGCGCAATGTTTAGATTTGCCCCAAAGGCTGTTCCACCGGCTTATGCCGTGCTTAATACACGTAACACATATCTCACCAAACTGTTTTTCACTCTCCAATGCTCACCTGCCATTCTTGTAAAAGTCCTCCAGAAGGTGTCTGACAATCTCAGTTGGTATTATATAACTGATATTCTCGGTTCCTTCACCTCTCAAGGCTTGAAACGCTACTCCGATGCACCTACCAGAAACTGCATTTCGATCTCACAAAACTTCAACTTACCGTCCGTTGTTGTCCACCGCTGGGCCGCCGCTGTTTCCTGGGTTAATCGCAGCATCAATCTGAGAGGAAAACGTTTTGTCAACTTCACCACGAAGTGTATAAGGGTATGAATGCATTGGACATTTATAATCAACGACGCCGGGATAAGGTAGGCAGTTGGGACAGTGTGAAAATATATGTTTGCTTTCCTCAACTGAGCTTGTAAGCTTCCTCACTAAATTATGAAAATCCACACAGAATTTTGGGTAGAAGTATACAAAAATCAACGATATTTCCCAAAAATTTCCATATTGTTAAAAACACATGTACAGTGCGTGCCAATTTGATATGTAAATGTGGAGAATGTGCGTCGTTTTCTATTCCGGGATTAATGATAGTGAAAAACTTGTCGCTATGACAGTCTCGAAAGGTTACTTTTACCACATCATATCACACGTTCATAGCAATGTCAACATTGTTTATGCGATATAGTTTAATCTCGAAGAATAACACACATTTGCATATCAAATTGAAACACACTGTAGTTGACCATGTGCATATATTTCCACACTGCAGATAGACGCGTCGTTAAGATGACTTGCATCAATGAGAATTCATAATAAAGTTCGACAACTTATGATCATTGCAAATTGCCCTAGAGTCGCTTAGCGTGTTAGAATATATTTTCGATTTTCTCAGCTGAGCTCAGGAGTTTCCTCACTGATCATAAGAACCCGGATGGAAGTGAACGTAAGCCAACAAGAATTTCCCAAAAATTTCCGTCCAGAATTTTCATGTTGTCACCGACACATGTGCATATTTTACGACATCTATGATCAGTTTGGAAATAAATTTTTGCTTTCCTCAGCTTCACCGAGGAGTTTCCTCACCTTATATAGAAGTTTACATACAAATTCAGATAAAAGTGCACAGAAACCAACAATAATTTCCCAAAATTTCCATATAGTCACCAGTTGAACCCTGCGCCAAAACGATCTATGATATTTATAAAAACATCCAACACTCACCTGTATCGCAAGTAGTCTAGGAGCTCCAGGCGAACCATGAGCAGTGTACTCTTGCAAGTCTATACGGCTCACCACACCTGAGCCGAAGTGTGTTCGTCAATAAAACTCCTGAAGAAGTTTCATCGCTAATTATGAGTTTTCACATGCTACAACAACTGAAATTCCAAATGCCACAAGAAGGAACGATCGCCTCGAAAATCGTTTGTCGCCGTCTTTTCACTGCTATTTCAATTTCATGTTGTCACTTCAGGCGAGGCAATAACTCCATCACACGCGTTGGGGGAATTTCCTCCACAGTGCGTGCCGAATTGATATGCAAATATGCGTTATTTTTCCAAGTTAGTGAGAATCGATCTGAAACTATACAATGTAAAAATGACAATTATTATCATCACATACATAACAATACAGTTTGAAATTTTGCTTTATAAGGAGTCGTACGTGTAACATTGCCAATATTCGATAGCGATAAAAATGATAAGTACTATATTTACATACATAACCAGACAGGTAGATTCTTTATAAAGAGTAATCAAGTGTGATGAGAGTACCCGTTTGGGACTGTGATGATAGCGACAACTTGTTCACTAAAATTTGTTCTTCAAAATAACACACATTTGCATCGATCAAATTGACATGTACTGTACGAAGTCGTCAACACGTCGGTATTCAGTACCCGGGGATAAAGAAAAATTTACTTTTTGATCTACTCACGAATGCTCCTACACAAGCTACTACATGATGTCTACACACACGAATGATAATTCTATACAGTCGTGTCTAGATGTCCGATCTACCTTGCGAAACAGAGGTGTTGTCTCCTCCTACAGGGTATCCAACCACCGTAACATCATCACCAAGCTTCTGAAATATCATAGCACATTCACCAGCAGTATTTAAAAATATACTCAACCACATGTGTTGGTGACAATATAATGATTCTGATGAAATTTTGGAAAATTCTACCTAGATTCGTTAAGGAGAGCGAACATATATTCCAACACTAGCAGAACTCACCGGTAGCTTTCTCGCTAACTTTAGCGGCTCCAAAGTACTCCAGAACTCCTTCTTAGCATTTTCGTTATCCTACACATCACATTGTTAAATCCTAAACACACATTGACCTCACCTCGAAAACAGGTTCCAAAATAGCCAGATCGCACTCAGATGCCACACAAAGAGCTCTGCAGACGACCTTGGCTGAACTACCACGGGGTTTCACCTGAGCATAGCAATACAACGATATCCCTCAATTTCAGAATAATTTCGAATTTACACATACCAATATGTACCCGTCACTGTTGAGTTCAATGCCGTGCAGTGTGAGAATATACGTTGAACTCAACAGTTGAGTACATTAATACTTTTAATATATTACCATGCAAGAGTGACAGTAATACGCTCAAGGTTGACACTGTGAATCGAAGTTCGTCGCTTTACTACAACAAATTTGATCGGTGTGTTCAATAGACCCCTCCTGAGCTTCAAGAGCGCTCTTAGGATTGGATTTCTCTTTTGTTGTGGACCAGTGTTGTAATATATGTTCGCTTTCCTCAGCTGACCTTAGGTGTTTCCTTACCAACTATAGGAGTTTATATACGAACTAGGGTAGAAGTGTACAGAAAGCAACAAGAATTTAGCCAAATTTCCTCAGAATTCTCATGTTGTCACCAACATATGTGGTTGACCATGTGCATATTCTCCCACACTGCCAATGCCGTGCAGTGTGGGAATATATGTTTGCTTCCCTCAACTCAGCTCGTGAGTTTCCTCGCTATATTATGAAAATCCACACATTATTTTAGGTAGAGATATACAAAAATCAACTATAATTTGCAAAATATTATTCCGTATATTCCCACACTGACGAGAAGAATAGTCATCGAACGTATATGCATCTCAAATAATTTCACCATAAGATTACGCTTACTTGAATAACAGCAGCATGCTTAACGCTATGGGCATTAGTGAGCAGCAACCCTCGAGATGTGTCACCACAGCCATCTGCGGTGAACGCAAATGCAGTCGACGTGCCTGAAGTAGTGTGCATAAATAGTATATGTAGTCGTGACAATCAATGGCTCACTGGAGACCTGGGGCTTGGAACTCCACGGCGCCGAATAGTTGGGCTCAGAGTGCGTGCAAAAAACCTAGAATAAAAAAATCAGCATATTCGCAGTCGGATATTATAATCCCGACCGCGTGCGCACAACAACCACTGAGATTTCCTTTCAAGTGCAATATTTCATTCCGAAGATCATATACGTATGCGTTTCTCTACTACAATTTTACAGATAATGGATATCGATCTTATCTTCACAATATTGATCGAAAATACATACGAAAAAAACCATGTACGTTTTCTACCTTCACAACACTGTTAACACCCGGTTGGTCGCCAATGTCGTCGGTGCACCCGTCAGAGTCGTCACCGCCGGATGATAACCTCCTAAAAGGTCAATACTTAAAGGAATGCATCATCGAATCATGATTTATCCCATACATCTAATTTACGAAAATATGATCATACTTGAAAATTTACTTTTTTGCTAACTTCTTGACGAATTACAAGTGGAGCTTTGCACAGAATCGCGTACCCGCTTACGGTCGAAGCCTACTACTAGGCGTTGCTCCTCTTCGAGGGGTCATCGCCTCTCCAGCCAAACCACGACGAGTCGACCCTAAAAACACAACAACTCACATCAAATGACCACTCAGGAACCATTAAGTATACTACTACGACACAGTCGATATTCTTGCAATTACAACTGCGAAGTTGCTAAAGACATTACAATGAATCTCACTGTGATCCATTTTGATGCCTTTTACCAACCACACAGTACCAGTATGGGAAAATATGCACATAGTCAACTACATGAGTTGGTGACAATATGAAAATTCTGAGAGAATTTTTCAATTTCCCTGGACACTTCGGCCCGAATTTCTATATATAGCCTTAGAAACTCCCGAGCTCAGCTGAGGAGAGCGAGCATATATTCCTCCAACATTGCACAGTACCGATATCATCCCAGGACTTCACCGTTTACTACTACCTAACTCCAAGTGGATTTCCTATTGCGTAAAAAAGGCAAATATTATCCTCATTTATACCACACCTTGACGAAATTTAAATTCTTCAATCACAAGCAGTTTTTAAAGGCATAAATTGCGGTCTCTGTTTGATCAATTTGGGGCAGCTATGCCACCTCAGGATATGCCTCGATTCAACCAATTTATTCGAGTGGGGCAACTATGCCACCCTAGAAGATACTCTAATACAATCAGCTACCCCGAGTGGGGCAACTATGCCACCCTAAGATATACCCTAATACATTCAATTTCCCCGAGTGGGGCAGCTATGCCACCCTAGTAGATACAAACTAATACAACCAACTTCCCCGAGTGGGGCAGCTATGCCACCCTAAGATATACCTTAATACAATAAACTTCCCCAAGTGGGGCAGCTATGCCACCCTAAAATATACCCTAATACATTCAAATTTCCCGAGTGGGGCAGCTATGCCACCCTAAGATATGCCCTAATACACTCAACTTCCCCAACTGGGGCAGCTATGCCACCCTAGGTTATACCCTAATACACTCAACTTCCCCGAGTGGGGCAGCTATGCCACCCTAATTCAATACCACACTTCCAGCAACTCCTTTATTACCCTCATCATTATTCTCTCTCCGACGCTTCCGTGGTGACACCGGTATCACCAGTGGATTTTCTGAGTTCGTAGTGGACATACAGAATATAAATAA